ATTATGGCCAGAACGAACTGCCTCGCATTGCGGACGGCTCACTTTTTTGTGGGGCAGGAGGGCCATTGAAGTGAATAGCACCGTAGCCACGCCCTCCGGCTGCAATGCGATTGTCCGCACGGGATCGCGACGCACATTATGCCTGCGGTCCGGTGCGAGCAAAATAGTACTTGCAGCATTTTGAGCACAGGCATAATGTGCCTTGCGATCCCGTGCGGCCGTTCGCATTGTGACCAGAGGGCGTGGCTAGGGTGCCATTCACTTCAATGGCCCACCACACCCCCTGCTGCCCCACATAAAAGTGAGCCGGCCGCAATGCGAGGCAGTGCGTTCTGGCCAGAATCGGGCTGAAACGCACTGCATCTGGTGTGAAGGAGGCCTTAGTGATTTTAATATGAAAAAGTTTAATAGAAAGTGTCATTACTCGCACTCTGAGGAGACCAACATTGGTGGCTATCGCTGAAGACTTTTGGATGTACTATACTCTACCTGGAGGAAGGGGATTAGTACAACTAAGTCAGGAATTTCCATTTGTCTAAGGAATGACATTTTAGGTTAAATAAGACAGAGATTGGTGTCCGTGGATGTTCTGCTGTCCTTATTAACCCTCTAAACCCTCCACACAGTCATTGATAGATCCAGCAACAGTTATTTTCCATTATTTAGCAAGTGTGCGGGGCCGTCTGTATGAGTGGGAGTGTGAATGGTTTTGGTTTTGGACAACGTTGTCAAAGGTTTTTAATGGGAAGATGCAATCTGATGATTTACTTTTTTGATGTTTGATTTTTTTCAAATAAATAAACTTTTTCATATTAAATACCGGTACACCCCCACATATCATCGGGGGGCGCGCAAAATTTTGTTCTGCCCCGGGAGCCCGCTACTCTGGTTACGCCACTGGCAGGCACCATGATGATGCTCCACGGCAGATTGCCCAAGCCTCCCATGATTATTGACATGGAGCTTGGCTGACATCATTCTCGCCTAGGTGCCGAATCTAGCAGTGCAGGCCGGTTTGCAAATGTAAAAATAATTAATTAATTTAATTTGCAATTGCGTGAACAGATGATAACTATGGAAAGCGGGTTAGGTCCCCTGTGGGGTGACAGCACTCAGCAATGCATTGTGGGAAGCTAACTGAATGTTCCCCATAGGTAGTGCAGGGGATACAGCAGCTAGGGCACAATGCAAAGTAAGGGAAGACAAGTTTCCTTTAATTGCCCCCCCCCCCCCAAAAAAACTCCCCAATAACCCATTGTTTTGAGCTGCTATGGATAAGCAGGACTGCTCAAGGCGTGTCATAAAAACAATAAAGCAACTTGCACACGTGTAGCACAGACTCCAATCCATAGCACAATGTAAATAGTGCACACGGACAGCCCCCCAGGCGCCTGTATGTTATTATGGCGTCTGGGTGGGAAGAACATGTGTCGCCATTGTGCATTCTGTGCGGCCTTACCTCTTCCTGGCATGACGTGACATGCCGCCGTCTTCTTTGGATAAGACCCCCCCAAATCCGACCGACGTTCAGCACAAGCGCCCTCTGACAAGCCGGGAGCACGGCCACCGTAGCTTGCACCGGACCTCTGTGTAGTTTTCAAACTTCGCACCGCCGCCGCTGTGAGCTTTGTGATTGGACGACTAGAGGAAAGGGTGGGACGCGTGGTCTTGTCACGTGAGGTACTGAGTGGCTGTGTCCGTTACAGCTCTTACGGGACTTGACATGTCCGTGTACTAAGAAAGGGCTTGTGCGGCTGCGCGGGGCTTTCCTATAACAGAGAGGACGGCTACTACATAATCATATTATTTTACCTGGTTCACGTTTACTGTGTAATGTATAGTGGCTGGAGGCTCGTGTGACAGACGGTTTACTGATGGAGTGTGCCACTAGTTACATTATGTTCATGATATATGTACACTCGGTCATTAAAGTCTCCTATAAGCTTTAACATATTGTGACCTATAGAATCATTTGTCATATATTTAACCACTTGCTGACCGGAGTGTTATACCCCCTTCCCATCCAGGCCATTTTTCAGTATTCAGCGCTGCGGTACTTTGACTGACGTTTATTCCGTTATGCAGCGCTGTACTGAAATGAATTTAATACCATTTTTGGGGACAGATAGAGCTTTCTTTTTGTGGTATTTAGTCACCACTGGGGGTTTCTATTTTTTACTATAGAACACAAAAAGTACAAAAATGTTTTAAAAAAACAAAAACAGTTCCCTACATTATGTTATGAAATATTTATTATCACCCCAATTTTTTGGTAAAATATATAAGACAGGGTCACGTCGGGTAAAAAGACACCACACATGTCAAGCGTTAAAATTGCGTGCGCCCGCAAAATCGTAAAAAAAACTACCATACCCAAAATATACCATAGACTACTCTTTAAAAGCTTTTACTGCTCAACAATTTAGTGTTATCAATGATTGATGGCCCTAGAAATATTGCTCACGCTCTGACATTGGCGGTGATATGTAACGTGTGGCGTCATTTTCGCACAAATAAAATTTGGGGTGCCATTAAATAGTAACCACGCCGCTAGTGTGTTGCGTGTTTTTGACGTGTTCCATGAACATGCGTTGAAATGCTTTTTTTTCCCTGCGTTCATGGAACATGATGGTGTGAAAGGGGACTAACTGATTCCCACAGTTCTGGGAGTCCCAAGTACAGCAGTCAGGAATACTGTCAAAGTAAGGTGAAGGGGGGGGGGAGAAGCACGGCCAAAATTGATGCCGCATCCACAGAGACACAAAACCCTTCCTGTCTGACTGTTTATCTATCTATAAATCTATCTTTCTATATGTCTGAGGCTCTCAGTCTGGGTCTGTTATTCTGTCTGTTTATGCCTTTCTGACTGTGTCTGCCTGCATGTGTCCATCTGTCTGTGTCTGTCATCAGTTTGTCTGTCTTTGTGATTGTGTCTGCCTGTATGTGTCCGTCTGTCTGTGTCTGTTTATCTAGCCTTCCTGTCATCAGTTTGTCTGTCCTTCTGATTGTGTCCGTCTGTCTGTGTCTGTTTATTTAGTCTTCTTGTCCTCAGTTTGTCTGTCTTTCTGATTGTGTCTGCCTGTATGTGTCCATCTGTCTGTGTCTGTTTATCTAGCCTTCTTGTCATCAGTTTGTCTGTCTTTCTGATTGTGTCTGCCTGTATGTGTCCGTCTGTCTGTGTCTGTTTATCTAGCCTTCCTGTCATCAGTTTGTCTGTCTTTCTGATTGTGTCGGTCTGTCTGTGTCTGTTTATCTAGCCTTCCTGTCATCAGTTTGTCTCTCTTTCAGATTGTGTCTGTCTGTATGTGTCGGTCTGTCTGTGTCTGTTTATTTAGTCTTCCTGTCATTAGTTTGTCTGTCTTTCTGATTGTGTCTGCCTGTATGTGTCCGTCTGTCTGTGTCTGTTTACCTAGCCTTCCTGTCATGTTTGTCTGTCCTTCTGATTGTGTCCGTCTGTCTGTGTCTGTTTATCTAGCCTTCCTGTCATCAGTTTGTCTGTCCTTCTGATTGTGTCTGTCTGTATGTGTCCGTCTGTCTATGTCTGTTTATCTAGCCTTCCTGTCATCAGTTTGTCTGTCTTTCTGATTGTGTAAGCCTGTATGTGTCCGTCTGTCTTTGTCTGTTTATTTAGTCTTTCTGTCATCAGTTTGTCTGTCTTTCTGATTGTGTCTGCTTGTATGTGTCCGTCTCTCCCTGTTTCTTTAGCCTTGCTGTCATCAGTTTGTCTGTCTTTCTGTCTGTCTACTATTATTGCTGAGTGTGTGATTGCATTGAAGGTGCCTTATCCTGTTTTGTGTATTTTCTGGAACCAGCTGTAGGATTTCTTTGTGTCGTTTTGTTTTCAGTTGTTATCTTATTTGAATAACTACAAGACAACTTTCTGTAAACTGCCGAGTGAGCAGCTTTGGAAGAAACCACTGATGACCCAGGTGGGAGGGGGAATGCATTTCCTCTCTGTCCTGTGATTGGTGCTTTCACCAAGCTGTGCTCATGTCCCCCCCTCTCCCTTGTGAATGAGATAGGAAGTGGTGTACACACCAGCTGAGACATGGGGAAGTTTTGTTGTGACAAGATTATCTCGCTTGTATGAAGAAGTTTGTGCCTGTCACATGATATGGGCGCACTGAATATCATTCTGGTAGCTGGCCTGCTTCCAGGCTTGGCACTTGGAAGTTATATTATTAGGTTAGATCCAACTAAAGAGAGAAAACCGCTGAAACATTTCTGGGAGAGCACAGGATTATGGTGAGTCTCTCAGGATTAGACACCTTTTAATTGTGCAGATCGAACATTTTTCTAATCCTGCTCTTTGTAGATTATAGTGTAATAAATAACACATCACAATAATAATGACAAATGTAGTGTATATGCAATGTGAAAGAACAACCATGTCATTGTACTGTTATGTGGTATTGGTCGTGGCAGCAAATCATGTGCAAAATAAAAGGTAGATCATGTTATTATAAGTGGAATGAAGGAAGTCAATCCTGCAGTGCATATACTACATTTCCATTACTGAGCTGACGTTCCTTAACCACTTAAAGTCCGTGGTGTTTACACCCCCTTCCTGACTCACAGTCATTTTGGTGTCACCCCCCTCTGAAAAGTCGGGCGGTCGGTCGGTCATGGACCGAACGCCCGACAGTATCAGGAGAGAGGAGGGGACCCGGCGGCATACCTTATCCCGCCGGGTGACTGTCCCCTCCTCTCTCTGCCGGCGTCCATCACCAAGATGGCCGCCGGCAGGTATCAGAATACTGCCGCGCGTGCGCGATGACGTAATCACGCACGCGCGTGGTGACGTCATGCGCATGCGCAGTGACGTCTCAGCGGGGTGACACTCGGTTACCGCTCCCGGGTGTCATCCAGCCTCGGGACGCCCATGGCTGTACTGA